TTACACAATGAAGTACTACTCAGTGGTAAGAAACAATGACATCCAAAATATGGAGGGAAATGGACAGAACTAGAAAAAAAAATCCTAAGTGAGGTAACCCAAAAACAGAAAGACAAATATAGTATGTACTCACTAATAAGTGGATACCAGACATAAAGCAAAAGATACCCAGCCTATAATCCACAACACCAGAGAAGCTTGAATCTCCTCCAGAAACAAATGAAAGCAGAAATCCACAGCTAACCAACAGGCCAAGCTCCTAGAGTACAATCGAAGTGAAGGAGGAAGGAAAATAAGAACAAAGGAGTCAGGACCATGATGGGAAACCCACAGAACCAGCTGACCTGAGCTAGTGAGAGATCACTGACTCAGGTCTGACAAATGGGGAACCTGTACAAGACCAAACTAGACTCCCTTAATATAGGTGATAATGGTGTTGCTGGGACAATATATGAGGCCACTGGTAGTGGGTCCAAGATCTAACTCTGATGCACAGACTGACTTAGTGGAGCCCATTCTATATGGAGACATACCTTGCCCAGCCTAGATACAGGGGGGCGGGGGGCGGGGAGAGGTGCCTCGGTCCTGTTTCAACTAGATGATGGGACAGACTTAGTAGACTTCCTAGGGGAGGCCTTACCTTCTCCATGGAGCAGACGAGAAGGGGGGTGGTGGTGGAGGGTTTAGGAGGAAAGGAGGGGTGAGGAACTGGGATTGGAATGTAAACAATTAATTTAAAAAAAAAAAAAAAGAACCAAAAAAGAGAGTGCTAAGAGCCAAAACTCCGGTTCCTATGCTTGCTCAGCAATCAGCCATTACCCAGTCCCATGCATGGATGATTTTTATGTGTTTAATTTCATCTTTCTTTAATTCAGTTAAATCTGTTCTGTAATGTGCTTTTCTTATCGGGAGAATGCGATCTGAACTGTATGCATCTCTGGCCCTGGGTGGAGTCATGACTTTGTGAACTGTCAGAAAGATCCCAAGATAACCATCTGGCAGAAAGCTTTTAGATGAAGAGCAAGGACAGGTCACTGTCCCCTCCCTTAAACAGGCCTGTCAATCACCAAGAGAGAAAACACTGCTCAGGAAGCAGGCCTGTGCTAGTGACTTTGGGTCAGAGGAAAGAAAGTTTGCTGTTCTTGAGGAGAACCTACCGAGTTTGGTTCCCAGCACCCACACCAATCAGTTCACAACCTCTAGCGCTAGGGGATCTGATGCCCTCTTCTGGCCTCTGTAGGCACTGCACCCTGTACATAAACCCCCACAGACATAAACCTACAAGTACATATAGTTAAAAATAAACTCCCTAAGGAAAGGAAAAGAGCATATAATCTACTTAAACATGTAAATCAAGACAGTGGTCTCTCTAACCATTGTCCACTCTCCAGAACAGTGTCAGTCTCTTCAGTGGACCCTTTCAGTGGTCAGTGTCCAACCCAGAGCTACAAGTGGCTGATTATTAGCTACTCTACGTGGGTGCTGGGAACCAAATGTGGGTTCTCTAGAGAACAGAAAATTCTCCTAACTTCTGAGCCATCTCCCCAGTCCCCTCTCACACAGTTTCTGTTTGAGGTAGCAGAGGACTGTTCACCTGCTGTGCAAGTGCTCTACCCAGGACCTGCAACACTAGCCCAGCATTTACATTGCCTCTTGCTGGCTCTTCTTCCCAAGCTCGCCATCTCTCTCTGGATAAAAGAATCCAGATTTTTAGGGGCTTGGTTGGCAGCCACCCTTGGTATGTTGACTTCTTAAAAGATATGTGAACTAAAACCTAAGGGTTATAGGAAATGCCTCAGAGAGGCTGGAGAGCTAGCTCTGTGGTTAAGAATGTTTGGTTCCCCACACCCACATTGGATAGCTCATGACTGCATACAGCTCCAGTTAGGCCCTGAAGGACAAGCCAACCAGCTTTCAGGCACTGCCCATTGCAACAAGGATGGTGCCAGGTTGGGTCCACAGAACAAAGGACTGGTGAGGGTCAGCCTTCTCTGTTTTCCCTAATGGAGAGGAGAAAGCTGGAGGCCCTTCCTCACACGTGACCACAGAAATCAGCTTTAAACACAAGAATGGTGCAGAGAAGGATCAGGAGAGAAAGGAAGGAAAGGCACGTAGAGAACATGTTCCGTGATCCAAGCAGGCCTGAAGATTTCTGTACTTCCAGAATCTTCACTGGCTGTAAGTAGCAGGGAATGTCCCCTGCTTCTGCTCTCCAGTATATCTCCTGAGGGGCGACAGTAGGCTTGCAACACCGTGCTCTGTAGGAAATTAGTTAACTGTAGTCTTTGACTTGATGAAAATGATGATTGCATTGACTTCTGAGCACAAAGAGGTGTGTGTGTGTGTGTGTTTATGAGTGAGTGTGTGTGTCTGTGTGTATTCATGAGTGTGTGTGTGTGTGTGTGTTTATGTGTGAGTGTGTGTGTCTGTGTGTATTCATGAGTGTGTGTGTGTGTGTGTTTATGTGTGAGTGTGTGTGTCTGTGTGTATTCATGAGTGTGTGTGTGTGTGTGTGTTGTGCACATGTACTTACAGGTATGCATACCCATGAATGTGTATGAAGAGACCAGAGGAGGACATCAAGTGTCAGCTCTGTCACTGGGTGCTGGGGATTTGAACCCAGGCCTCATGCTTAGACAGCAAGCACTCTTGCCCACTGAGCCATCTCCCTAAACCCCTATTCCTTTTTATGTTTTTTAGACTTAAAGCCCAAGCTGGCATTAAACTCCTCTTTACCCAAAAATGAACATCTGCTTCAGACCCTTTTGTCTCTGCCTCCTGAATGCTGGGGTTCCCAGTGTGCCCCCAACACCCAGTTCATGCAGAACAGGTAATCAAAGCCAGCGCTTCACATACACCAGGCAAGCATTGTGCTGCGTAGGCTCCATCTGCAGCCCCACCAAAGATGCAGATTTATACAGGAGCAAAAACAGTGATAAGTTCCTGAGCGCTTCATCCCCTCAGCGCCTCCTCCACCCATCACCCTATATCTCCACCCTCCCTACATTCTCACACGCAGTGACAGAGGTTCCACAGGCTGCCTGTATGCCTCTCCCGGTGGATGCAGTGCCTTCAACTCCCCACAGCAGCTGTCTCCTCTGGACTCAGAAGAGGGGTTGAGAAAGAAGGATGGGGGAACAGGACTCAATATCGACGGGCTCCCCTCGGGGACAAAGCTACCTATAAAAAGCCTTTCTGCTTCATTTCCTTTTCATCAGGGTTATAGCCCTAAAAGGTCGGTCTAAGTATTTCCATTTTTATAGAAGACGAAGCTGGGCTCGAGAGGTGACAAAACTGACCGGTGTCACTCAAGCCCCTAAGTGAAGGTGCTACCATTCAAGTCCTGGCTTTACTGTAATTTCTGCCTCATTGTACCAGAGTTGTGAAGGCCTAAACACCAACCCCGTCTGGAATGTCTGAACCCCTCCAAGTCCAGCCTCCATCAGCTTGCACTTCAGCGGGGAGCCTCCTCCAGGAAGGCAGCCCAGATTTCCCACCATAGGTACAGATCTATGGTATTCAAAATAGATCGACAAAGCAACTCTCTCAGACTCAGGCTCTTCTGATCTGACCCTGCTGAAGATCGTGCTTTTGGGGGACGAAATCGATGTCGCCCTGTTGTTAGGAGGTAGCTCTTCCTGTGACTCATGGTTTAAGGCCTTGGCGTGACCCAGGCCAGAAGCCAGGGACTGCCAGGAGAGGCCTCATTAAAATCAAAGGAAATGGCAAGAAAAGGGACCTCTCACTGGACTGTGACTCACAGCTGCTGGGTGTACCAGGCAGGGGGACTCATTTCTGGTCTCCATCACCTCTGCATCGAGGACAGAGCCTGCCGGCAGCACCCAGGGGCCCCAGGTAGGGTGGGGGCCTAGTAGAAGGAAGTGGATGGGCAGGGCTGGAGGTAGGGCTTTGGACTGTATGCAGTCTTGTTTACAGGGTTTCCCTTCTGTGTTCAAAACCTTTCGTCCCAAATCGCACAGCCCAGGAGCCTTCTCCTCCTCCTGAGCTCCTCCAGGGACAGGGGCCTCTGGACCAGGGTGTCTGGATCCCTTCTCATGAGGCCAAAGAAAGAAGACAGATTCCCTAAATGAGCAGCTGAGGCTTGAAGTTGGGAGGAACGGTCTTTAGTCACAGGCTCTGGTCACTTCCCCAGACTGAAAGAAAACCTGAGTATAAGAAGTCAGGCTTTGTAATTGTGGTAACAGGAAGTCAGACTACCATACTCATCCCTCTGGTTTTATAATGTGCTCCCCCCAAGCGGCTAAGTTGGCCCTGGGTAAGGCCTTTGGGGCTGCCTTCATCCACATTGTGGCTCCCCATTTACTGGGGTGTGTGGATCTGTTCCCTCCTCTGTAACAGGGAAATAATGGAGGCTCAAGTCCTTTGGCCTTGTTTATGAGTGGCTCGACTGCCCGCCTCTCCACGCACATGCTCAGACAAGGGCCAGGTCTCATGAAGGAGGTAAGGCAGGATGCCTGTCTCTGTAACAGACAGGAGCACTGATGTCCCAAGCAGGGGGAAAGGCCTGCCCAAGACCTTGTGATCACAGGTGGATTCAGAAGGCCCTGAGTGTTGACAATGACACATTATCTCAGTCAGGGAAGGATGGGGAGGGGCACTTCAGCCATGGATGCTGGACAGACTTGGTGCTTGGCCCTGTGCGTTGACTTAAAGGGAATGGGTATGATACGAAGCTGGGGGAGGGGGGAGGGAATGGCACAGTCATGGAGAGCAAGGATTACAATTTTGAAACATAGGGGTCCGGAAGGTGGGCAGGAAGGAAGAAGGCCACAAGACTGCCCCGCCCCTGTTCCCACACCCCCTTGGAGGCAGAACCCCAAGGACACTAACCGGCCCCTCCCCTGGGAGTGTAGCCAAAGTGTCAAAGCTGGAAGAGTTATTGCATCACTGGGCACTCGAGGGTTAATGACGGGGAGTGGGCAGGACCTGTGTATTTAACTAATTGGGAGGTGGCCTGAGATCAGAGGCCCCTGCTCCCACTGCAGCAGGCTCCTGTGCCCCTGCTCACCTCCCCCAAGATGAAACCTCCCCTAGCCCTGGCCTTCCTTTGCCTCCTGGGTAAGTGAACTTCATGACCTCCCTGCTGCTTCCTACCCCATCTTTCAGTAGGAAGCTCTCTGGATGCCTGAGCATGGTGGCCCTGCACAGGGCATCAAGGGGACCAAGTGCTAAAGGCCACCCGCCTTCCTGCCAGCCACCTGGTGACCCCTGGGCATGTGCTGCCCGAGCCAGCAGTGACTAGAAAAGAAGGAAGGCAGGGAGAGGGCTGAGGAGAAGGCAATGGGGAAGGGCGGGCGGGGGGGGGGGAGGCTGTGGCACCCCACTCCAGATGGGCGCCTCCCTACAGCTGACTCAGAGGGTCTTTGTGGGGAGCAGAGTGCTGCTGGGGAGGCAGGGCTGAGGTCTGGGGAGATTAAAACGGAGGGGGTTTAAAGAGTCATGGAGAGCTCTGACACAGCATGAGCATGTGGAAGGGGTGAGCAGTATTGGGTGGGTAGGAGACTGCGAAGACGGACAAGCATGAGGACCTGAGTTCGACCCCCCAAGACCTACATAGAAGCCAAACATGTGGCACACACCTGTAACCCCAGTGCTGGGGGGGGGGGGACAGAGATAGGTAGATGTGGCTTGCTGGCTACCTAGTCTAGCCAAATAGGCAAGGTCTAGATTCACTGAGAGATTCCGTCTCAAAAAGTAAGGTGGGAAGTAATTAAGATACCAGCAGGGTGGTGGTGGCTCAGGCCTTTAATCCCAGCAGGAAGAGAGAGAGAGAGAGAGAGAGAGAGAGAGAGAGAGAGAGAGAGAGAGAGAGAGAGAGGCTGGTGGATCTCTGAGTTTGAGGCCAGCCTGGCCTACACAGCAAGTTCCAGAGCAGCCAAGACTACACAGAGAAACCCTATCTGGGGGGGAAAAAAAAAAAGCAAGCAAACAAAAAGACACCTGATACTACTGATACTAAGCACTGGCCTCCATGGATATGCACATATTGCTCTTTCTCTCTCTCTCTCTCTCTCTCTCTCTCTCTCTCTCTCTCTCTCTCTCTCACACACACACACACACACACACACACACACACACACACACACACACACACACGGGTAGGGGGGAGGGAGAGAGAATGATGAGGTTGGACTTAGAGGATTAAAGCACAAAGCATGCCATTGTATTGTCAGCATCGTTGTTATTGATAGCTGGATGTTGGGGGGGTGCTTAACTGAATAGTTGGGGAAATGTCTGGAGTTGCATCTGAAGACCTTCAGGATGGGACCTTGGATGTGATGCTCACCGGCCTCTGCCTCCTCTTCTGCAGTGTCCCTGGCTGGCGGGAACCTGGTCCAGTTCGGAGTGATGATTGAGAGGATGACAGGGAAGTCTGCCCTCCAGTATAATGACTATGGCTGCTACTGTGGTGTGGGCGGCTCCAACTGGCCAGTGGACCAGACTGATTGGTGAGCAGGAGGACCCTTGAGGAGCAGGTGGGGAAGCAGCCTGGGAGGAAGAAGGCATTGGGGCACCTAGCCAGAAGGGATTCACACTCTACTTTCATCTCCTCTGAGTCCTGGCGGCCCAGCAGCTCCTGCTTCCAGCCCAGCCAGCCCCTCCAGGTTAACTCTGACCCCACAGGTGCTGCCACGCCCATGACTGCTGCTATGGACGCTTGGAGAAGCTGGGCTGTGAGCCCAAGCTGGAAAAGTACCTCTTCTCTGTTGGTCGAGACACCATTTTCTGCGGTAGGTGGTCAACCCTGGAATGAGCCAGACACTGGGTAGGCAGTAGTTCCTCTAGTTGGCGACATTGGTCCTTGTCACAGGGCCAGACCCATTAGGCTCCCCATCATCATGTAAGAGTGACAACACTTGTTTGGATTCTTACTGGACATCTGGGCCCCACAACCTTACGACCCATCAGTGTAGCCTATCTCAGCCTCTGGGGTAATCAGAGTTGAGACACACATGGACACACACACACACACACACACACACACCAGAGCTTCATTCACACAACCCTCAGGGGGGCTGCTGAGCTGGGCCCACCTCCTCCACTTTGCCAAGTTCAATGCCCCCTTGGCCCTATTAGATTTCCTCTGGGCCTCAGCTGGGAAAATAGCTGAACGCAAGAATGCCCAAAGGATACTTGGATCAGAGGATCCAACTCTCCTCCCAGTGTAATCAGGAACCCTGAAGGAGGGTAGGGCTTGGTGGCTGTGGGTTGCAGGGAAGGGCCCAGGCAGTCCGAGGAACAGGCTCGGCACTGAACTCAGGTCCTTGCCAAAGCGTGAGCCAAGGCTAGAGCTACTGAGGCAGAGAGCTCAATACTGTCTCGCACCTGCAGATCCCTCAGCAGGGAGGTTGCATCAAGTCCTTGCCACTGAGGGTTCGGGCAAGCATGGGACAGTCCCCCATTGCACCTAGAGGATGTTAGGGGAGGAGTCAGGTGGATGGGACATGGGTCTTTGACAAGGAACTGAGCTGTGGAAGGGCTGTGTGACCCCTTGCCTAGCGTGCCGAGATAGCCATGCCCATTTCCCCAGCTGCCCAGGCTCAGGACCTCAAGCACAGTGCTGGGTCCTGCTAAGATGGCAGATGTGGGCAGAATCCTAGAGGGAAATGCTCATGTTTGAAGGGGGAAATGAGATACCAGACCCTTCCAGACAGGGACTAAAGAGGCAGAGCCACTCTGGGCAGAAATGAGACAATCACAATGGACTGAAGTAAGGGTTCTAGCCGACTGGCACCTGCCACGTTGATGCCATCAGGCTCTGGGGAAGGTGGGGGTGGGGCAGTATGATACCCAGGCTAGACACGGGTTCTGTCTGATCTGATAGAGACAGGCTGAAGCCCGGAGAAGCCCCCAGCATTAGTCTAGTAGCCTCCAGCCTGGATACTGGCTATCACTAATGATGCCATCACGTAAAGGAGGGTTGTTATGCCCTGGCGGGAGGAAGGTGTGAAGTTGTGAAGCCAGGGTCCTCTCAAGGCAGGAGAGGGCTGAGACCATGTGATCCGGCTTGGAGAGGAAGGGAAAAATGTTGGTGTTCTTAGTGTCCTGGGCCTGGCATGCCAGCCCCTACCCAGCCCTTGACTGGTAAAATTATGGATCACCACCCCCTTGAGTGTGGGCTTCCATAGAAAGTGGGAAAGTAGGGGGCAATGGGGCTGGGAACCTGGACCACAGAGAAGCCAGGGTCACTCTCATCCAGTGGCTGAGAGTCAGAGACCGCAGAGTCCCTGACTGTTCCCACTCCTCTCTAGCTGGTAGGACGACTTGCCAGCGGCAGACCTGTGAATGTGACAAAAGAGCTGCACTCTGCTTTCGGCACAACCTGGGCACGTATAACCGCAAGTATGCCCACTACCCCAACAAGCTGTGCACCGGGCCAACCCCACCCTGCTGAGGCCCCAAGGTCTCCCTAGCCACCCCAGGCGCTTATTGTCCCTGGCCTGATGAAGCTTGGAACCCAAATCCCTCTCCTCCAAATGCATCCCTCCCCTCAGAGCTCCTAGGCCCTGACATCTAGGGCCACACCTGTTCCCTAGGATCAGCTAAAGGAGCCGCAGGACCCTTCAGTACCCACAAGGCCAGCTAAGTCTCCCCTGGCCTCTCCATTCCCTCTTCTGAACAAGGGCATTATATTTCCCTGTAAGTCTAATAGTCTTCCATTGTCTTCCCAGAATTTAGATGGTAGTTTCCCTTCACTCATCCATCCATCTGGTGGCTCCTGCCTGCAGGGTCAGCAGTAAATCCTTTGTTTCCTACAAGAGTAAGTGCCCATGCTTCCTTGCTTCTCTGTCCATGGCCTGAAACTCACTCTGTGGACCAGTCTGGCCCTGAAATCACAGAGACCCGCCTGCCTCTGCCTCCTGAGGGTTAGGATGAAAGGCGTGCCCCACCACACCGGACTATGCTGCCTCTTCTGCTTTTTTGGTCTACAGTCGTATCCAAGGCTGTCGTGATTCTTTCTGGAAGGGACATTTCTGGCCAAATGGGTTACTATGAGAAGCAAAAAAAAAAAAAAAAAAAAAAAAAAAAAAAAACCTAAATCTTGTCTAACCCTCACTTAAAACAAAAAGAAAGGAAGAAAGACCTCTCTCTCTCTCTCTTCTCTCTCTCCTCTCTTCTCTTTCTCTGTCTCTCTCTCTCTCTTTTTAGGGCAAGGATTCATGTAGCCCAGGCTGGCCTTGAACTTGCTATGCAGCCAACAATAGTTATGCACTTCTGATCCCCCGGCCTCCACCTCCTAAGAGTTAGGATTACATGCATGAACAGTTGGTTTTCCACAGTACTGGGGATAAAACCCCGGGCTTCATGCATGCTAAGCAAACACCTTTTAACTGAGCCGCATCTCTAGTCCAATCCCTTTTTTGATAGATGGGTATGTGAGGGCCAGAGAGGGCACACTCTTCCCAAGAGGTGCCCTCACACCAGGTCCTTCCCTGCTTCCACGAGTTGGCACCAGCTACTTCATTGCTACATTCTGGTGTGGCTTTGTCAATCGGACCTAACAGATGCCAGGTCCAGATGTGAGCACAGAGCTGGCTCAGGCTCCTGACCGAGGAAGAAGAGGATGGAATTCACCCTGCCAGGCCCATTCCAGGACTCCCAGCGGAGAGGCCTGCAGCCATGCCAGAAACAAGATGCTCTGACAGTCCTCTCACAGGACCAGCTGTAATATCTCCACCATGGTAACAAGTGGGCAGCGATGTAAGGTTCGAGAAGAGCCTGCTCTGTGGCACAAAGCAGTGTAAACACTGCACAGGGCGAGTCTCCCAGAGGACACTTGATAAATACCCACTCCCTTTGTCCTTTCCATGGTTCAATGTGATCTCTACAAGCATGAAATCAAAGGGATGCGTCATCGGGAACTTTGAAAGGTGAAGCACCTCACTGTTTGAAAAGAAAGAGGTGGGTGGCAGGTGCATCTGTTGTAACTGACTCAAACCATTAGGAAATAAGGCCGTAAATCAAAAATGGTTTATAAGGGACGCCAGCCTGACCCTCATTTGTCAGGAAGTGTGATCCCAGGGCGCCCTCTGGTGTCCATCTTTTTTTAGACGGTTAGGAAGACTATCAGCTCTGGCTTTTGCCCTGGGGTTTTCTAACTTTTATCAGGTGGACAAAGTGTACACTTTCAACAGTAAATATGCTGAGAGATCTCCGAAGGCGGCCTCACCACCATCATAGGATGACAATGAACTTGATGAAATGGGAAGGTCCAGCATTGGACGTTGAAGTGCATGATTCAGTTGGGGAGGCCAGAAGAGGGTATTTCTGGGCGTGGCATTTCTGGGATTTTAGGTACTATGGGATGTTCTCAACAGACTTATAATTGTATAACAACCTAGTAAGTGAGAGATGTAGAAACAAAACCGCTGTGTGACTCAGCCCCCACCTCAATAAATATTCAATGAATGAGTCGAGGTATCTGTCTAGATCCCATTTGCATGTATGTGTCCTCGGTACAAATGCCAGAGCTCAAGACTTGTGGATTTGACTGACAAAATAAGAACCCTGAACTTGAAGTCATGTACAGACCTATGTCCCTTTTACTTCACAGCTGTAGATCTAGTCTAAGTCAGTGATTCTCAGCCTGTGGGTCTCGACCCCTTTGGGGTTTGCATATTAGATATTTATATCATGAATCATAACAGTAGTAAAATTACAGTTAGGATGCAGCAGTAAAAATACTTTTCTGCCTGGGGTCACTACAACATAAGGACCTATACTAAAGGGTGGCAGTGTTAGGAAGGTTGAGAACCATTGCTCTAGACCCTTGCCACTCAAGGAGGCTGACAGACAGATATCAGCAACTGCAGAGGGACAGTGGCAGTCATGTTGTTAGAGATCTCAGACCCGATGCCAGGTCTGCCACAGCAGAGTCAATAGGTTAACAGGACCCCCAGGTGTGTAGGAAATCTAGGAGCTTCCAACTATCACAACCTAAGTGTTTGCATGAGTAAGATGGAACGGCACAGCAAACCTGTGCTAACATTTAGTTAAATATATATAAAGTACATTTATGCCTACCACATAAACACATTTATTTCACTTATGTCCTGTAATTGATGGCTTTAAGAGTAGCAATGCTATGTAACACTAAGCAGTTGGATTTACAGAATACTGCCCTTGAGAGCTGTATGTGAAGCCACTGGATGGATGGATGGATGGATAGATGGATGGATGGATGGATGGATGGATGGATGGATGGATGGATGCATAGATAAGATGGATGAGATGGATGAGCTGGATGGATACATAGGTGGGTGGGTGGGTATATATATGAATGTGGGGCAAGTGAACCGATGGGTGGATGGAGGGATAGATGGAATGATATGTGGAGTGAGGAGATAAGTTAATAGATACATGGCAGACAGACATTTAGATGTATGCATGGATGAGTGGGTGAGTGGATAGATGGATCCATGGAGGATGGGTGGATCCATATTTGTTTTGTGGTAGGGGTCTCTGACAGCCAGGGAAAAGAAAAACAGAAAATAGCCACATGGGCCAGGCAATGTCCCTGAATAACCGGTACCTTTCCTGGCATGCCAATGGGCACTCTAGGTTGCCATTTTGTCCCCTATGGGAGTTTCCTTTGATCTAACATTCCGGCCTCTTGGGAGACAAGGGGCAACATACTCTCTTTTGTAATTATTTCCTGCTGAGACTATGGTGTTGTTGTCAAGGCCCAGGGAGGCTGGAATGCTAGGCAAAGGCAAGGAGGGAATTCAGCTGATGGGGCTTCCATCAGAAGCATCTGGTTCACTACCCAGCTGAAGAGACAGAGAGCAAAGACATGGACTAGACTGGTCCACATCAGCTTTTAGCAAGTCCAGGGCTAGCAGTTGTTGGAGTAGGTTGTAGTTTGCAGCTGATGCTTGGATGTGTCTGCCGGGCAAGTGGGAATCTGCTGAGACAGATATAGACTAGGAACAGAAGTTAAAATTTAGGAAAATATTATATTTGGGACTTGCAGGCCCATTGTCCTAAGGAGTCCCAAGACCAGGAGAGAGAGAGAGAGAAACACCACCCTCAGGAATGGACAGGTAGGGAAAATTAAGCTGTGTTTGTCTGGAGTCCTTTTGACCTGTGAGAAGTGGATCCAAGTCTTAAGACTCCCTAGATTCTCTGAAGCTTACATGAACTTCTTAGTTTACAAAAAGACATAAAAGTTTCAGATATATTAGCATTACTTGATGTGTACTGAAATCCATATTGTAGAAAAAGCAGCTAACAGGTAAAACAGCTGGAGTAGACTCACACCTTTAAGTCCTAGCAAACTCTATGGAGGTTAAAAGGCATGAACATTTTCTTTCTGTCCAAAGAGTAAGACATGGATTGGAATGAAATGACTTTGGCCCAGTGAGAAGCACCTTAGGATCTATACTTAGATGACAGCCAAAAGAAATCTAAAATCTTGAGCTTGTGACTGAATAGTAAGCAGTCACTGCTCTACCATTTTCTCAGAACTCTGTTAATGTTAAGCTCTGACACCACAGAAGGGGAAAGAAATCTGAAACATTTCACATATCTTAAATCATCCATTCACACCTCTACAATTTGCATTTACATCTTTTTTGTTTGTTTTTGTTTTTTGAGACATAGGTTTCTCTGTAGCTTTGAGAGCCTGTTCTGGAGCTCACTCTGTAGACCAGGCTGACCTTGAACTCACAGATATATGCCTATCTCTGCCTCCCAAGTGCTGGGATTAAAGGCATGCACCGCCACCACCAGGTTGCATTTACATCTCACATCATTTTCTGAGACCCTCAGAACTTATTTAAGCCTTTACAGCCTCAAGCCGTTATATATCTTAGACCTCCAGAATTTATATAGACTCTCAGATCCTCACACCTTCATATACATACCTTAGAACATTTTCTTAGACCCTTAAAATTTGCATAGACTTTAACATTCTTTCTTTTCATTTAATCATTTACCAGAAACACGAGCAGTTATTACTGAGAACAGTCATTTCAAATCATGTTCCTTTAGTGGAAAGTTGTACCTGAAACCTGTTTATCTTTTAATATGAAGCTTGTTGGCAAGGCAAACCTGTCTACCTTTTCTCAATAGAAGACCTAGTAGCGCTAGAAAAAAGCAAGGCTTGATTTTTAGATATGAAATGAGCTAACAGTCTGGCTGCGGCCTTCAGGAAGAACCTGGTTGCCTTTGCTGTTAAGCTGACAAAGCTACAGCTATCCTAGCTGTCTATACCACCAGAGATCTGTAAAGGATAAATTATAGTGTTAAGTAAAATCCAATCAATTAAGGCGGCAGAGACTAGTTAGTCCCTTACCTAGATGGTCATCTCAGGCTCCTGTGGTCTCCATGGTCTTGGGGGCATGAGTAGCAGGACAGCATCAATCTTCAGCTGACAGGCCCAGAAGGTGAAAGACTTCCCTGTGAAGGAGGAACCTGGGGG